GAGAGAAACATTTCAAAATATCTGTATTAGAAAAGCAGAAAGGTCTAAAATCAATTATCTAAAATTCCACCTTAAAAAAATGGAAAAAGCAAAGTAAACAAAAATTAAGAAGAGGGAAGGAGATAATAAAGATAAGTGCAAAAAGGAACAAAATTGAAAGATGAACAATAGGGAATATCAACAAAGCCAAATCCTGGATAGGTACATGCAAAAAAAAAATGAAACTAGACCACCAACTTACATCATGCACTAGAATAAACCCAAGATGGATAAAAGACTCTAATATAAGTCATGACACCATAAAAGTCCTAGAGGAAAACATAGGCAGTAAATTTCAGATATCTCACACAGCAATATTTTCACCAATATATCTCCTAAGGCAAGGGAAATAAAGGAAAGAGTAAACAAAAGGGACTGTATCAAATTAAAAAGCTTCTGCAGGGCTAAAGAAAACATCAGCAAAATGAAAAGGGAACCAACTGTATGGGAAAACATATTTGCCAATGATACCTTGGGCAAGAGTTTGATCTCCAAAATATATAAAGAACTCATACAACTCAACACCAGGAAGACAAATAATCCAGTTAAAAAATGGACAAAGGACCTGAACAGACACTCCTCCAAGGAGGACATACACAGGGCCCAGAGACATATGAAAGAATGGTTAACATCATTAGCCATCAGAGAGATGTAAATTAAAACCACAATGAGATACCACCTCACACCTGTCAGAATCATCATCACTAACAAGTCAACAAACAACAGGTGCTAGTGAGGATATTATTGGTGGGATTGTAGACTGGTGCAGCCACTGTGGAAAACAGTGTGGAATCTCCTCAAAAAGCTAAAAATGGAACTGCCTTTTGACCCAATGACTCCACTGCTGGGAATATACCCTAAGAATCCTGAATCACCAATTCAAAAGAACTTACGCACCCTTTTGTTCATAACAGTCCTATTTGCAATAGTGAAATGCTGGAAACAGCCTAAGTGGCCATCAGTAAATGAGTAGATCAAAAAACTGTGGTACTTTTACCCAATGGAATACTACGCAGCAGAAGGAAAGAAGGAACTCCTACCTTTTGCTACAGCATGGATGGAATTGGAGAGTATTATGCTAAGTGAAATAAACCAAGTGGCAAAGGAAATACCATATGATCTCACCTAGAAGCGGAACCTAATGAATTTCTATTTTTAGAACCAGAGGCATGGAAACAAGGAACAGATGGACAGTGACCAGAGGGGAGAGGGGAGAAGGATAACGGGAGAAAGAAGGGGAAGGGTCTAGCCAAGGAACATGTATAAAGGACCCATGGACATGGATAATGGGGTGGGGATTGATGTGGGAGCAAGGGTAGGATAGGGGAGGGGAGAGAAGCGGGGGAAAAATTAGGACAACTGTAATAGAACAACAATAAAAAAAGAAAAAAATATTCAGCAACAACAGGAAAACCAAACAAAAAGTGAAGCCACATGCTGTCTTATAAAAATTTTTAATTGTTATTCTATTACAGTTGTCCCAGTTTTTTCCCCTTTGTCCTCCTCCATCTCTCCCTTCATGTCTGTCAATATTTGTTTTCTATATTTAGGTGCTTCTATGTTGGGTGCATAAGTGTTGACAAAAGTTATATCCTCTTATTGGATTGATGTCTTTATCATTTTATATTGCCCTTCTTTGCCTTTTATTATAGCACTTGTTTTAAAGTCTATTCGTCTGGTTTAAGAACTGTTACCCCAGTTACTTTTTCTCATTTGTATAAAATACCTTTTTCCATCCCTTTACTTTTAGTCTGTGTGTGTCTTTTGATCTAAAGTGGGTCTCTTGTAGGCAGCACATGTATGGGTCTTATTTATTATCCATTCAGCCAGCCCCCCCTTTTTATTGGAGCATTTAATCCATTTCCATTTAATGTAATTATTAATAGGTATCTAGTTATTGACATTGTACTTATTGTTTTCTGTTTTGTGGTTATTCTGTGGCCTTATTCTCTTGTACTCTTTTATGCTGATGATTTTCTATAGTGTTATGTTTGGGTTTTTTCCTCTTTATATCTTGTACATTTTGTATAGGTTTTTTGGTTTGTGGTTACCATGTGCTTTTCATTTATACCAAGCTATGCTTATAGCACTCTAATTTAAGTCAATGGTTGCTTAAGTTTGAATATATTCTAAAATTATTAGAGTTTTTTACTTGTCACTCCAGTGTTTATGTTTGTCATTATTTTATATCTTGTGTGTGTGTTTGTGTACCCCTTAATTTATTATTGTATTTACATATGATCATCCTACTTTTGTCTATTAACTTTTGTACTAGCTTTAAAATTGGTTGACCCACTGTTACTACTAAGTGCTTACCTTTGTCAGTGAGATTTTTTTCTTTCCTATATATTCTTATTTTTATTTTTGATATTTTCTCTCTACTTAAAGAAGTCCCTCTAACATTTCTTGTAAAGCTGGTTTAGTAATCATGAACTTCTTTAGTTTTTCTTGTCTGGGAGGCTATCTCTCCCTCAATACTAAATAATAACCTTGCTGGTTGGAGTAATCTTGGTTGTAGGTTTTTGTCTTTCATCACTTTGAATATTTCTTACTAGTCACTTCTGGCTTGCAAAGTTTCTGTAGAAAGATCTGCAGATAGTTTTATGGGAGCTTCCTTGTACATAATTAATTATTTTTTCTCTTGCTACTTTTAAAATCCTCTTTTTGACTTTAACTTTTAATTATGATGTGTCTTGGTGTAGTTGTCTTTGGGTGCACCTTGTTTGGGACTGTCTGTGCCTCCTGGACTTGTATGTCTATTTTCTTTGCTAAGTTAGAGAGATTTTCAGTTATTATTTCTTCAAATAAGTCTTCAATCCCTTTTTTCCTCTCTTTTCTTCTAGGGCTCCTATAATGTAAATGTTGTTATGCTTGATGCTGTCCCATAATTTTAAAAAATACTATTCTCATTTTAAAAACTGTTTATTTTTTTTTGTTCCAGTTGGGTGTTTTCCAGTACCTTGTCTTCCAGATCACTGATACAATTATTTGTTTCATCTAAACCATTGTTGATTCCCTCTAGTGTATTTTTTTCATTGTATTCTTCATTTCAAACAGATTCTTTATGACAGATTCTTCATGTTTTATATAAACTGTTTATTGTTTTCTATCTTTTTGTTAAAGCTCTCATTGATACCTTTTCTTGTATTAAGTTGATTAAACATTCTTCGAACTCTTTTTCTGGTAGATTACATGTCTCCATTTTGTTTAGTTCTTTTTCTGGAGTTTTGTCCTGTTCTTTCATTTCTGAGCTTGACAAATGATTCTAAATGCTGACATGGCAATGCACAAGCCTAAGAACATCCAACATACTTAAAAAAATAAGATGTGAGGACTTATTCTTATGGATATTAAGATTTTTTTATAATGCATGCTAATTAAGACAGTCTCATGTTAGAGCAAGGATAGGCAAATATACCATAAGAATCAAATAAAGAGTGAGGGTATGATCTTTAAAAATTTTTTTTTCATTTTTATTGTTGAGAGTATTACAGATGTTCCCACCTTCTGCCTTTACCTAGCCCCTACTCTCCCTTCCCTCTGGCTATCACCACAGTGTTATCTATGTTTATGAGTTATACATATATGTTCTTTGGCTAATTCCTTTACTTTCTTCTTCTTTTTTTTAAATAAAATGTGCTTAGACAGTTGGATATCTACTTGGGGAAAAAAAATGAAACAACACCATGTCATATCCCATATGAAATCAATTCCAGATAAGAGTAGATATAAATGTAAAAGGCAACAAACAAACAAATTTAACACTCCCCAATAAAACCCTACAAATGAACTTCTACAACATGATATAGGGGTCTATGGTTAGGATCTTTGACTAAGGAGAGACTTCTAAAACAGGACACTAGAGGTACTAATCATGAATAAAAAGATTGTTAAATTTGACTATCAAAATTAAGAATTTCTGTTTATCCAAAAATACCTTTGAGAGATAAAAAGGGGAGGCAGAGGTGAAATAAGATCTATAACAAACGATCAACAAAGAGCTCACAACCAAAATATGTAGAAAACTGCTACAAGTGAATAAAAAATAAGACTAACAATACAATAGAAAAAGAAGTACTTCCCAGTGGCTAATAAACAAATGAAAAGATATGCAACTACTTTACTAATCAGGAAAAAAAAAGAAACTGCAATGATTTATTACTAACCATCATCAAAATGGCTAATGCTAAAAATACTGATAATACTAAGTGTTAGGTATATCCTAGGTAAGGATATAAAACAACTAGAACTCTAATATACACTTCTACTGGGAGTATAAATTGGTACAATCACTTTGGAAAATTGTTTGAAATAATCTACTAGAGCTAAGCAAACCCATACCTTATGATCCAGCAATCACTCTCAGGGTATGTACTCAGAAGAAATGTGTATATATGTGCACAAAGAGACATGTACATGAAGGTGCATAGGAAAACTTTTGTTGCAATAGTTCTAAGCTGGAAACAACCTGGATATTCACATATATCATAGCATGGATAAATTATGACGTTTCATACATTGATGACTATACAGCAATGAAAATGAACTTCAGCTATACAAAACAGTATAGATTAATGTCATAGACATAATTTTGAGGAAAAGAAATGACACAAATGAATACCTAATATATGGTTTCAATTATATAAAGTTCAAAAGGCTGAAAAATCTAAACAAAATTTTATCATGATTCAAGTTTAGTGGTAAAATTATAAAGAGAAATGAGGAAGTCAATATCAAAAGAGTCAGAATAATAGTCCCTTTGTGGGGAGTAATAACTGAGGGGGAAAAAGAGAGCTTCTGGGATTCTAGCAATATTTTAATTTTTAAAATTGGAATGGTAGTTACAGGTTTGCTCATTTCATGATAATTCACTGAGTTATATATGTTTTGTTTTAAATACTTATGTGTGCTGTATTTACAATAAAAAGAATAAAAAGATTGTTTTTTCTACTATTCCATACCTGGCACAGCATAAAACTCAGGGGATCCTCTGGCCTTTCATAGACTAAGTTTTCAGTGATCTGCTGAGAGAGCATAGACATCACATATGGTTCTGAGCTAAAGTTAACATGGTAAAGTTATATCTGAAGCAATGTCCAGCACTAAGCTAACATGTACCACAGAATTTTAAATAAACTCATATATATCTACAAAGTGACAAATTACTTTCTTACTACTGATAAAATTAGGTAAAGTAAGGTAAAATTTGGATGAATAAAAATTTAAATAAGTAGACATGGCTATTTCTCTAGTTTTCAAGATCAAAGAGGTAGTGAGAAAGTTCTGGAGAAAGTCTTTGTTTTGAGAGCTATAATTTTGCTAGACTGAAAAATTAACATTAGTCAGAGAAAAGTATTTTGAGTAAAATTTAAAAATGACTATATAATTTTACATAGAGCCTTCCTTCTGAGACATTTGATTTTAAATGGTAAAAGTTATATTCATTGTTTCTAATAATAAATGAGAAAGCATATATAAAACTTCAGAGATTCACTACCATATTTTTTTTTGGTGTTGAATACCCTCCAAAAATTATAATAAATTTTTCTCATCTGTAAGGAACAAAAATGGGACAAATTTTAGGCATAAAATATTCAAGGTCTGTTTAATGTATCCACACCAATTATGTATTTCATATGTTTCTATTGAACATTATTTGGTAATTATTTTTTTTCTTATAACAATGTTGAATGTATAAGCAAGCATTGTTTTTCCTTGACAGATGAAGAACATTATTTGTAGAATGATTAGAATTCTACTTTCTTCAACAGTTTTCATCCTTAAGTTTAAATATTAGTTGTTCTTTGATTAAAGCCAGAAAACCCAGCCATAAGTTCTCTCCCACAAAAGGACATTTTAACAAAGAAAAGACATTGAGCAGGGTTAATGAAGTATCACTTATCCCTATTTTATATAAGGAAATTGAGATTCACAGCTGTTATGTAATTTTCCCCAAATAACAAAGGTGAAAACCGGTCAAGTTAGGTTTGGGCCTCAGGCTAAATTTGCAAAGTGTGTGCTTTTTCTCCTATACCCTACTTCTTTAAACTTAAGTTTAAATGTTTTCATTTGAGGTGGACCATTCTTATTTTTCGCCTTTCTAACCACAAAGTACTTCATGTATTCATGTATTATATATGAATATGTACCTTGCTGGGTAATAATATTAACATAAAAATAAACATGTCAGACAAACAAAAACAAAAATAACTCACCAGACAACAAACATTTTATAAGTGTGATAGTCTCTCGTAATTCTATTTTGGCCAAATATATCATAGTTTTAAGAAGTTTCCCCATATTCCGAGGTCAGTAAGATTCAAAATTTCAAGAATTAGAAGCAATTCTTAACTACTCCCCCAACTCCCTCCCAAAGGATGTGGTTTCTTAGATGATTACAGGGTGGTTGTCTTTTTAAAGTATTATATTCTGCCTGGAAAGCCCTTTTCTTTCCTTTTCAATGTCCATGTTTTGTCCTTCCTTCCTAGTCTGGCTCAGACTTTAATTCCTGGCCACGTTTTCCCTATCAATCATTCTACCTGAGCCCTCTGAATGGCTTCATATCATGGTATCACTCATTTGGTGTTTATCATTTACTACTTTTGGTTATTACATCTTACTGACTTCTTAGAGTATATCCTTTCTATAGCAAAGGTCCTTTCTTGTACCACACAAAAGCCAGGTCTAAGTTTATTTTTTATACTATAATTACTGAAAAACTCACAATTAAAAAAAAGGAGTGAGAGGTTTACCTGGAATATTTGCAGAATGTGGTGTTTTTCCATGTATTGTAGTGAAACTTGATAAGGATCTTGATACACTATAGAAGGAAACCGCCTCCTATGGGTTTTGTTGTGAGCATGAGAACTCTTCCTTTCTTGGTATTCTGAAATATCAACCTGAAATGGAAATACAACACACCCCCCCCCGACCAAGAGTCTAATAAATCAAAAAACCTCAGGAAGTTTTGTTCTTATTTTTGCTGTTATTAGTGGAATCTGGTGATGATGGGATCTGAACACCAGGATGTCGAGGAAAGACACATTATTGTGAGAGCCCTGGCTGATCTTCCAAGCAATATAATGCACCTCAAGTCCTGGGGGTTACCTGAGGCTTCTCCAATCTACTTCAAATACTTTTCCCTTCACAGGGGTCTCCAGTTTACTCCAAATTCTTTACCTTTGGTAAAAGCCCAGAGAGGGGAAAGTGACTTGATGTTTTAGAGTTAGTAGACACACCAGGACTTGAAACCCAGGTCTCCTGAATGCTGGTTAATCAATCCTTCCTGAATGGCCTTAGGGTAGCAGAGAAAGCAACACATCTCTATATATCCCACCATTCTCCTGTCCTTCCTGAATCCCATAGGTTACACATATCAAAATGTTGGTTTATTCCTCATCCTTGATCCAACCTGTGTCCACCCTCCACTCTCTATACCACCACCACAGGCCCCTGGTTTGGCCTCCAACCTCCCAGGTGGGTACCAAGTGCCCTTTTAACCTACAGGCTTAGTTTCTACGGCTTGGGTTTTGTCTTGACTGATGACATAGTCCAATTGGGTTGAGATGATGGGGAATCTTGAGGAAAAACCTTGGCCTTTTGCTTGGAAGTTACTGATGAGCCTGGTATCAAATGAGTTAAATGCTTGCAGAAAGCTTGTACTTTCAGTGTCAGTTACATCTGAAACCTTGGAATCACTGAGGTCTGTCTGGCTAGTCTCAAATTTGCAGGGCTGTACTCTGAAGTCAGCATCTTTGTCCTCCTTGATGGCAAATATTCTGTCATCATACTGGTGGTCACTTTCTCCATAGTGAAACTGTTTGTGTTCTATGTCATCATCTTCATTCATTAAGTGATCAACATTGTCAGATTTACTGTAGTCATATTTATCAACTGTAGGATGATGGGTACTGCTGTCAGCTTGGTCAGCCACCTGGTGTTCAGCTAGTTCAGTAGTTTGGTCATGCACTTTGTGGTGAGTCTTTACAGATGTGTTATAGCCAATTTGGTCAGACAATCTATGGTCAATCTGTTCAGAAGTTCTTCGTTCAACCAGACCAGACAATCTGCGGTCCGTCTGTTCAGAACCTCTCCGGTCAGCCTGGCCGGACATTGTGCTGTCCATCTGTTCAGAAGCTCTCCGGTCAGCCTGGCCGGACATTCTGCGGTCCATCTGTTCAGAAGCTCTCCGGTCAGCCTGGCCGGACATTCTGCGGTCCATCTGTTCAGAAGCTCTCCGGTCAGCCTGGCCGGACATTGTGCTGTCCATCTGTTCAGAAGCTCTCCGGTCAGCCTGGCCGGACATTCTGCGGTCCATCTGTTCAGAAGCTCTCCGGTCAGCCTGGCCGGACATTCTGCGGTCCATCTGTTCAGAAGCTCTCCGGTCAGCCTGGCCGGACATTCTGCGGTCCATCTGTTCAGAAGCTCTCCGGTCAGCCTGGCCGGACATTGTGCTGTCCATCTGTTCAGAAGCTCTCCGGTCAGCCTGGCCGGACATTCTGCGGTCCATCTGTTCAGAAGCTCTCCGGTCAGCCTGGTCGGACATTCTGCGGTCCATCTGTTCAGAAGTTCTTTGGTCAGCTTGGCTGGACAATCTACGATCAATGTGTTCAGGGGTTCTTTGTTCATGCAGAACCCTCCTATGTTTGTCAGTCTTTTCAGATTCTACAAGATCAGCTTGGTGAGATTCCTTGCTGTCTGTCTGTTCAGACATTCTTTGGTCAATCTGGTCAGTTGTTCTATGATCAACAACATTATCATGGTTGGATGCTCTGAGGTCAGCCTGATTAGATGTTCTGTGCCCATTGGATTCAGATACTTTGTGGTCTGCTTGGCCAAATATGAGGGGTTCAGTCTGGCTAGATTCTCTTCGGTCAGTCTGGTTAGCTGTTCTGTGATTAGACTGGTTATCTGCCTCCTCTTTGTCCAGGTTCTTCCAGTTGTCTTCCTGACGACCTGCGTGGCTGTCATATGGATCTGTATGGCTGTCATTTGGGGACCTTGCTGTGCTTTCAGGTTCCAAGGATTCCTCTTCAGCCTCTTCTGGAGTCTCTTCCATTTCCTTCCAGGTCTCAGTTGCTAGAGGCTGTGGGTGGGGCCAGGCTGGGTTGTCTAGGCGACCATAGGAGAACGCAGGACAACAATGCCTGTGGGCTTGATGCTGCCTCAGCGCACTGATTTTTCCGTTCTCCTTTCTTCGGGGAGCTTGGGCAGTTGCCTGGCGGTGATCCGCGCTCCCGCGCAGCTATCGCTGGGCAAGCGCTGCCTCCAGCTCTGGGCACAGTCGGGAGAGGGCTTCTGCTGATAAGCGAAGTGGACGCCCCTCTCTTGAGAAAAGGTGATGACCACACGCTGGCGCCGCCACTGTCCAGCAGTTAGATCTCAGGGCTCTCTGGATGGGTGTTTCAGAATGGTGCCCTCCTTGTTTTCATGAGAAAATTCACAGCGGTGCATGTCAAATAGGATTGTCAGGTACCATTTCTAATCCACAGCACAATGTTAGGGGATGAATACCCACGCAACCACACGAGGGCAGCATACTTGAAAAGAGGTGGCTATTGCCATTAATCAAATCCAAGCTTCCTTGCCACTGACTTGTCTAATCACTGCTTCCTGTAGTTATTGGGCACTGTGCTAGTAAATGGTCCTGCTAAATGGTATTTATTCTTTTTTAGACTGTAATTGGTACTGTGGTGATGCAGCCACGTTATGTTTTCAGTTTTAATTTTTTTTAACCCTCACTAGAGGATATGTGTGTGTGTGTGTGTGTGTGTGTGAGAGAGAGAGAGAGAGAGAGAGAGAGAGAGAGAAACATTGATGGGTAGCCTCCCATATGCAACCTGGCCAAAGATCAACCTGCAATCTGTCGGTGTACAGGACACTGCTCCATCCCAGCCAAGACTTCAGTTTTAATTTTTTAAAACCATTTTTAATCCTGCCTTTACAAACAGTGCTGGTACTGTTTTCAGTGATATCCATGTTACCAGACAGGAGCCTGGACCTGAGTGGATCTGCCTAGGGAGAGTTGTAGTGTTGGGGGTTTTTGACTTCATGTGGGAAAGCTTTCACAACATGAGTCCAGGTGATTATGAGGCTACATTTATTAAAGCTAGGGACAGTGAAACAAGGAAGGGCTTAGCACAGAAGCAACAGGAGAGCCTAGGCTGGGGCCACTTTAGCTCACTGGGAAGTCAGAGAAAAGGGGCCTCGGAGACAAGTTCAAAGGGTTAACCTGGGGCAAGCTGCCAGCTGCCCATTGCCTTAGAGTTTAAGACATATGTTCCTCTGAAGAGAGAAGGTGGAGTGGATAGAAGGAAGGAAAGGAAATGGTGCGATGGCGCTGGCTGCTCCCCAGAGGGAGAGGTCACATCCTGGGCCATTTGTCTTGAGGCTTTTATCACTTTCTTGCAGGCTGGAATCTTAGGTGACTTCTTGGGGGATAGTTTTAGCAGAATATTCATCAGTTCTTCATCTGTGTCCTTTCAGGGTCATGATCTCCACTGATAATCAGTGACAGGGCAGAGGGTCTTTAGTCATTGCAGTTGGTCCTGGTGTCACCCATCTGGTTTTGCTGCTTTCCTGGATGTAGAGCTGAAATACAACTGAGGCCTACATGTTATCTCTAGGGAGGCAGCCTTTTGTGTCTGGCTATAAATTGCTTGGCTATTGTGTTCAGTTATCTGTCTCAGTTTCCCTATTCCATTTGCCAAGGAACTTTCCTAGCTTCTTACTATCCTGTCTCACAGGGAAGAGGTTTGTCCTCTACACACTCATGTTACCAAAGTCACAGAGGTCTTCCGGTAACCAAACACAGGTCCAGCTGCCTGCTGCTTCAAAAGCCGATACTCAAGAGTCAGGGGCTGATGTAAAGGAAAGTAGTTTTATTAAGGTGCCATCAACCTGGAAGATGGGGGACTCGCCTCAAAACCCATCTCTGCATTTCAGGGGTTCTGGCTAGTTTATACAGGGGAACATGGGAAGAGAGGAATGAAGGAATTTCTGATGATAAGCATTTTCTCAGCTCTGCTCCTGGGTGGCTTCAGGGTCGTTTCCTGTGCGTGTCATCATGTAGTTTCATAGCTCTATCTGCAGTTTCACTGGTGATATCTGGGGACAGAACATGCAGGCGGCGTTTCTGCTGCTTCTAACAGGAGTTGCTGAGGCTCGCCCGATTTCTTGTGATCAGGGCCATTCCTTGGTTAAGCAGGAGCCGCAATGGCTGATGTCTATAAAATACTTACAAGGAAACTTTTAATACATGAGTCGTCTATGAGTTTTTTAGTATAGCTTATTCTATAATTACCACCTGATTAGTATGTTATGCTTATTTCAATCAGTTGCATTTCCTCACAGTAAAGAGTGTGGAGAGGAGAGTTTTGCTCCCCTGCAACCCCTTGGCAGTCATTGCTGCAGGACCATCCTCTTCTCTTGTCTTAACGGACAGCTGAGCAGCTGTTTCCCATCCCCTCTAGGAAGAACTGTTTTGGTTGTGGAAAATCAAGCCCCATGGTGTTTTGTTGATTTATACATACATATATGGCTGGAAGTTGAGAGGTAGGAGAGGTCATCCAGTTAGAATGGGTTCTAAAATCACATCATCTAATAATTTGATAGCAGAAGTAGGGGTGAGGGTTAGGAAATAGGGCTCCAGAAAGAAAGGGAGTAGGAAAGACAAGAGAAGGGACATTGTACAAGTGGGGAAATCTGCACTTGGTGGTGGTTAGTGTGGCCCAGATTTTGAGATCTGGCCTTCCCTGTTTGAAATAAACCTGCAGAATCCGCTTCAGACCAGTAGCCCTCTACTTTCAGGAGTTGAGCAGTACAGTGGTAGTGATTTACAAGACATTTGATTGCCTCTCCTAAGCCTAAAATCACTGAGGCATACCAAGAGTTGGTGGTATATTGCCAGATATTCCTTTAATATGGGCTTAATGGCATTCAATTAATTAGAGATAAGACTTAACATACAAATGCAAATAGTTATGATTAAGGTATGAGAGAAAGAGTGAGTATCCTTGATGCTACACTTAGGAGCAGAAAGTAGAACCTAGGTATATGAAGTAAAATCACTTATATAACAATACCTAGAACATAGTAGGTATTCAAGATGTGTTTGTTGAACACAAATGTACGAATGATCTGCCTTATTTACTTACTTAAAAATGTGTGGAGCAAATGGAGGTTGTATTTTGCAACTTCAATGGGGCACTGTAATTGCCGATTCCTTTTTCCATTTATAAGTTAAATGTAATCATTGTAGAAAAGTAAGAAAAACAAGCATAAAGAAAAAAAATTCACCTGACTTATACCCGAGTTACAACCTTTATCAGCGTTTTGATTTATATCCTTCTAGAATGTTTCTCAGGCAAACCTATATGTCTAATATCTACAAGTATATGTATATTTTACATAATAGAATCAAACTGTGCAACTATTCTCTCAGTTGCATTTTCTTGCCTTTAAAAATTTAAAAAAATTTTTATTTTTCAGTTGCAGTTGACATACAATATTGTGTTATTTTCAGGTATACAACACCATGAGCATTTAATATACCTTACGAAGTGATCTCCCAGATTGTCTAGTACTTATCTGACACTATATATAGTTGTTACAATATTATTGACTATATTCCCTATACTGTACTTTACATCCCATGACTAATTTTATAACTGGCAAATTGTACTTCTTAATCCCTTTCACCTTTTTGACTCATCCCTCCAATCCCCCTCCCATCTGGGGACTAAAGTATATACTGCATTTTCATTTAACATTATGGTATAAATGCTTTTCCTTCTCAATAAAGGTAATCTAGATTAAAGAACACAGACTTCTGAGTCAGCCCAAGCTTGTTCTAATTCTCTCCCTGACATTTACTAGATTGTTGAGCTTGGGCAAATCTCATTGCTTCTCTGAACTTCAATTTTTTCATTGCAGATGAAAATGGGAGTAATAGTTCACACAGTTCTTGTGACAACTAAATAAGATAATATACATAATTAGCTCATATGTGCTTCATAAACAGTAGCTATTTTGAAATTTGCATATAATCAATTATATGAATTTATTCTGTTCCTTTTAACAGTGATGTATTGACCATCATTGCACTGACATTTTACAAGCTTGTCATTTTCTTTCTTTCCCTCTCCCTTCCTTCTCCTTTTCCCCCTCCCCTCCCCTCTTCCTCTCCCTTTCCCTCTCTGGAAGAAAATTGGCTAATAGCTTTATTGCTTTGGGGGCAGGGAGTGCTCAAGACCTCTTGGTGGGGCAGGCCCACTGCCTTTTCACCCCCGGCTTCTGGCTGAACGGGATGGCGCTGGCCCCGCAGTTGGCGGCTGTGCGGAGATCTGGGCGGTGCTTGGTTTTGCCCTTTGAGTGCCTGAGGCTCTGCTCAGGGTGGCCCGGGTATTTTCGTTGATGGTGGTTCACACTTGGAGGTGGCCAGCTTTCTTTGGCCGGATCTCCGCTTTATGAAGATCACTACAACTTTGCTATCGCCCTCTGGCTCCCCACCCATCGTCTTGCGGTGAATCAGCCCGTTGCAGCGAAGAGGAGTTGCGGGCCTTCAGGTTTTTGGGTTCAGTGCTGTATGCCTGCTGGCTCCTCTTGATCAAGAAGCCGAAGCAGTCCGGCATCCATGGCAGATGCACAGACGTGGCGGGAGCTGCAGGGAACGGGGCCTCCACTTGCTGAGGCAGGCAGAGACGGAAGGAGGATTTTTTTTTTTTAAGACAACTTTTTAATGTGAAATTGCTTGGTTAAGGAAATATGTTCATTTTGATCTTTCGAAAGTACTATATTTAAAAAGCTTTCCTGAAAAGTTGAGCCCATTTATAGCTCCACTAGTAATATATGAGAGCTTTATTTCCCTACACCAACTCCAATTCTGTATATATTTTTCATTTTTGCTTACCCGATGAATGAAACATAGTATCTTGTTTTAATTATCATTCCTTTTTACATGCATAATGGCTTTTTGATATCTTTTTTTGTGTGTGGATGTCCTAGTCATGCTCTTGTTTTTTGCTTAAAGATTTGTAAGAGTTTCTAATAAGCATTTTA